GTGATGCAATATTATATAATAATTAACTACATAACATGGGCATGCAAAAATGTAACTGCCATAAGTTTGAAGACAATGCAATGATGTGCACGGCCACAGCAAAGACGGTAATGGCTATAAAAGTCAGAAATGTAACAATACCAATGCTGCTAGCTACCACTACTGGTTATATCTTAAATTCATATGCTGTTTCACAGGTTAGTTGTAAAATACTGAACTAGTTATCTCCTAAGATGCCTAGGGATGTATAGTTTTGGAGTGTCTAGCCATCACTGCTGGCATACCAGTGTAACATGAAAATTTGACTCCCATGAAAATCAACAATTTAATAGCTTTTTCACAGCCTAAGGGCAGTCATAGGGTGGTAAAATACACATTTTTAATTTTCTTATTTTCTCATTAAAATTTTCACCTGTAAACTAACAAAAAATGCCAATGTATCCTCCAGTATGCAAACGACAATATAAAAACCATATACTGAAATACAGAAAAATTTTTAAGTTTTGTGAGGGGAGTCAAAATTTCATGGGGGGAGTCACATTTTCATTATGAAAATTTGACTGGGGAGTCACATTTTCATAATGAAAATCTGACTGGGGAGTCACATTTTGGGGGAGTCAGATTTTCATGGTACACCGGCACTGTATATCACAGAGATGATCACAAGTTTTGGAGCAATGGCATGTCCTCTCTATCAAAGGTCAGCAGGGTGATGACATCATTTTCCAAAAAAAAATGTGTCGCTCACGGTACAGAAAAGTGCAGAGATATAGCCAGAGAAATAACAGTGAATATCAAGTGGAAATTGTTTCCTGGGACCTTGGTAGTAGGTTTATGTAAGGACTTAGCTTTTAAGTCCTATTTAAAACACACACAGGTGGGGACAGCTACGTTACGTCACTGCAACCAGGACACTTAAGTCTCGTTTTCCGGTCATAGAGTGATTAAATTCGGTCAGTTGCAAACCTTTATGCAGAGAAGACGTGCTATACTTAATATGGCAAGGACTGGATTATTGAGATTTTGTTAATTATTTTATTACTGTAGATGTAGTGACATAGCGTAGTTTCGAAGCTATATAATAAAAAGCTTCCAACCCACACCTGTGTTGTTGTTTTAAAGGTATATATGATACATGGACCTAAGCATAAAATGAGGTAATTGGTTATTATGCTTTGTCCCCTGATTGTTGGGCACGCTGAACCATACACTCTGTACTTACATTACATGTACCAAGAACTGTAAGAGCAAGTGCCACTGGGTCAAGACTAGTATTTCACAACTGATAGATCAAAGAATCAATTGAATGACCTAAATATTTTTATGAGAATCAAACATATAAGATTACAAATGGAAAAAAAACTCACAGTGCTTGTAGTTATTAAGCCAATCATCACGGTCTTTAAATCTGATGTCTTCATATTCTACACCAGCAGCAGCAAACACCAGACGGGTAATCTCTGCGTTCCCTTTTGCATTAAAATAGTACAGCTTGTAGGTCGGCATCTTGGAGGTTAACAAATGCAGCTTGATAATGAAACAAATTCTATATGGACTTGCTACTCGTACAACTTGGTGTATATGTATGTCTGAATTAATGCTGACTCACGACTAATCCTGCTGACTAACCCAATATCAACACAACATTGTACACCTTTGGTTTATTCGTTGAGGTTATTATATTGATTCCTTGTTATATTTACCTTGGCAGTGACGAGTCATTGGCACTTAAGCCATGCAAACAAAGTACACACACAAACCCAATATAGAGGAGCATTTCACATATTTAAGTGTCAAAAAATAAAACTGAATGAATTCAAAGTTGTATTCAATTTTTTTAAACATATACCTGCATAGAACAAAAATCCACAACTGTCTCAATTTAAATTCAAATTTGAATTTTAACCATGTCTTTTTTTCCCTTTTAAACTTTAAAGATAGACAATGGATTTCTAGCATAATATCATGTATTTGACTAAGTACAATTCTTCTTTTAAAGATGATCTGTCATAGACAATGTGTCTAATCATGGAAGTAAATTATCTGATGATTACTGAACCAATGCAGTATAAAAGTAATAATTATTGATTAACACTGAACAAATAAAAATTGTATCAATTACAAAATATGATTGTTTTTCAATTGTCCAAAAATAGCAGTGTTATGAGGCATTAGTTTTTTCTGTTTCTATCATCTGAACACATTATTGAGAGTTGTAGAAAGGATTTTTCATAATTGTAGTAATGGGACCTGGTGAGGACCTTTGTATGCCAGTAAGTATTTCATAGACATCATTGTCAGTAATGATGGTGATATTCTCCGTGGTAAAAGTGTCATCATCTTTATGATAGTATTCTGTTCTTTCTTTGTCATATATATGATGGGTTATGGCATTATTGTTTGTCAGTTTATTTAACACATTATTGATTCCATCTATTTCATCCTCTGAATATAGAACATTGATTCGCCCACTTTCTTTGCCAAAAGTTCCTAGTACATTATTTGAATCATGCTTTCTTTTGATGTGCATTGTTTTGCGTGTTCTGCAATTATTCCCTTGATTAAATTCTACTCCACATTTGTCTGGTTTTTCACAAGATTGCATTCTTTTAGGGCTAGTGCAGGCTAATTTTGTTATGAACTCTTTGCCACAGAACTTGCATGTATCATGCTTTTCTGCAGTATGACTGGTTTCATGGACAGTGCAAAAACCTTGAGTAAAAGTTTTGTCTCCAGTGTAAACTGTTTCAGGGTAAGTGCAATTCCCTTTTGGAGTGAATGTTTTCTAAAAAAAATTACAGATATATATGTTTGTCTCCAGTGTGGTTTTTTTCATGAAAGTTACAAGATTTTTTTGTGTAAAAGTTTTGTCACAAAATCTACACTTGTAAGGTCTCTCTCCTGTGTGAATTCTCTGATGATATATGCAAGAAGTTTTGTCTTTAAAAGTTTTGTCACAGAATCTGCACTTGTAAGGTTTGTCTCCTGTGTGAATTCTCTCATGATATATGCAAGATTTTTTGTCCATAAAAAATTTGTCACAGAATCTGCACTTGTAAGGTCTCTCTCCTGTGTGAATTCTCTCATGAGAGATGCAATTTGTTTTGTCTGTAAAAGTTTTGTCACAGAATTTACACTTGTAAGGTTTATCTCCAGTATGAATTCTTTCGTGCACAGTGCAATTGACTTTTTTAGTAAAAGTTTTCACACAGAATCTGCACTTGAAATGTTTCTCTCCTGTGTGAATTCTTTCATGCTTTATGCAAGAAGTTTTATCTTTATAAGTTTCATCACAGAATTTACACTTGTAAGGTTTGTCTCCGGTATGAATTCTTTCATGCTCAGCGCAATGACCTTTTTGAGTAAAAGTTTTGTCACAGAATCTACACTTAAAAGGTTTCTCTCCTGTGTGACTTCTCTCATGAGATATGCAATTTGATTTTTCTGTAAAAGTTTTGTCACAGAATCTACACTTGTAAGGTTTCTCTCCAGTATGAATTCTTTCATGCACTGTGCAATGGCCTTTTTGAGTAAAAGTCTTGTCACAGAATCTACACTTGTAAGGTTTCTCTCTGGTATGAATTCTTTCATGCCTAGTACAGTGGCCTTTTTGAGTAAAAGTCTTGTCACAGAATCTACACTTGTAAGGTCTCTCTCCTGTGCACATTTTTACTGAATGCTTTAAGAACTTAATTGGTGGTATAAAAGTCTTGCCACAGAATCTCCACTTGTAAGGTTTCTCTCCAGTATAATTATTTTCTTGAATTTCATGAGATGATTAATTGCTGAGAGATTCTTGTCACAAGTAACATTGAGTTCCAATTCCAAAGCTTCTTTTCACATAATTTCCCCCTTTTTTGGTTTTTCATTCCTTTTCCAGACAACTCCTGTCAGCCATTGTTACACTACTGTCTTACTTGCATTAAGCCAGTCATTCACTAGGATAAGGTGCTAAGACTTATCGAGGCTTGATATGTCCTTTCCAATACTGTAATTTTGTTCACTATTCAACTATCAGAGCACCGACGTAAGATTATCCATTTGGATTCTGTCAGAACTTGTTGTTAACATAACCAATGCACCTAGTTTTTGTACTGAGCAATGCATAAAGTTTTTAGTAGGAACCCCCTGTTTAAAATCTTGAATGCAGTCATTCTATTGGACGATGTTAATTGCTGGTTACAGAGGACATATCTGATTTGTTGAAGGCATTTCTCTGCAATACTTCAGATGCCATAATTAAAGATGTTATCTGCACAACCCACTGCATATAATTAGCTGTTATTACTTCACTAAGCATTGGTAAACATGTACCATGACACCATTAAGCTCACATCTAGCTACAGTAGTTTAAAAGACAGGAAGTGATTTTATCAGTCAGTTTGTATTTATCACACATGCCAGACTGATTCTGTAGATGATGTGATGAGTCTTTCAGCAGCCAGCAGTTTCAAAAGAGGGGGTTCTTTTTCATGAAAAAAATGGACCTTTTACCATCCAATCTTCTAAAATCATCTAAAATTTTACTCAGAGGGAACATTTTCCCAGGAAAAAGGCCCCCCACAGGCTACTGGGCCTGTTCAGGTTAAGAAATTTATAAAAAAATTAGTTCAGTTATACAGTACAGTAGGTATTAAAACTTTATTCATTAACTCCACCAAGGTATGTTACTTTCAAAAAGGAGCAAGAATGGGCTCTTTTTAAAAGGAATAATATTTGACAGTTTTTGCATTAACTCCACCAAGGCATGTTACTTTTAAAAATGAGCAAGAATAGACGTTTTTAAAAAGGATAATAAAGGGATAATATTTGACAGTTTGTAATTTTTATCAGTGATAAATTTGCACAGTTTCAGACAAGTGAACCAAAAGTGATGCTGAAATGTGAATTTTGGCCAAAAAGTGAATTTTCCTGGAGAAAACAATTTTCAAATACTTTTTATATCAGAATAATAGCTATAACTGCTGTTTTTGTGGTACAACAGAATATATTATATTTCTATAAGTTGTTCACAATGTTTTTATTGTGAAATATGTAGATCTCATGCGAAGAGATATTATCCCTTTATTGTGTGTGCATGTGCAATTTTTTTACTTTTTATGACTGCATTTTTGCCAGCTTTTCTGTTTCAAACATAATTTATCCCTAGTGTTAATTTTTGTCTCTCAGGGTAGTGTACCAATAGACCAGGAAAACACTTTTTGTTGATAGCAGCTGTAATATCAGTGAGCCACCACACCATTACTACAGAGATGGAAACACACCTACAAGGTACCCCAGATAGGTACATGTACATCATATATGGTTAAGTTAACAGTTTACTCACAGGGAATAGTACCAGTGTTAAATGAAATGTTTTGTCTAGTTGATAACAACTTAAAATATTGAAAGCTTTCTGACATGAAAGTTTGTACTGATGATCAGAAAATCAACAGAGTTTGTGAAGAGTGAAAAAACATTTGTTTCTTTTACCTGTTGTTAAAGGGAACACTTCGATTGCTTTTAGAATTTTTAAAACTCTTTTGCTAATGTTGTTGAAATTTTGGTTGCTGTTTGGTGTCTGTATATTTGGAAGTTTTGCTGTTGAGTTTATTTTTCCCTTCAGAATTTTGGCTCATTTCTTATGGAAGTAGTAACCAAGGACCAGACATTGTGGGTGGGTGCTGAGGCTCTGAACGCCATCTTTGATGTGTTTGCATTATCTGGAACTGTTGTCATGGAGATCAGGAAAACAAACAAACTCCAGAACTTATGGTACCACAGCTAATAGCTAAGGTAAAACTGTTCCCTGTGGTATTTATTTATTTATTTATTTATTCATTCATTCATTTATTTATCAATACAAATAAAGACATACTAGTATCAGGAGCAGTTGCATTATCTATATATTGGACAATAAGTAAAAGCGTTGTTTTCTTACAAAAATGATTCCTGCAGTTGGGTATATAATATTTTCTTTCACAGTGTAATGATAATCTTTATTTTGAAACATTAATGAAAGAAAATGATAGATATCTTTTTAAGGAATATTGTGAAAAATTTCCAGATTAACAACAGATGAGAAGCTTAGGAGACCACTTGACTATCAGCATAACAGGAAGGACAAATCTCATGTACTTCATCAAATGCAAATCTTGACCAGTAGATTAACTTGGACATGTTTTTCTTCTTCTAAGTGACCTAAAACTCAGCAGTAATGTGGATCAGAGAAATAATTAGAGTGTACCACACCAAGTTCTGTAGTTTTCTGGTGTTCAGTCAGTTTTATTTCAGGCAACACTGATATTTAGTATTAATATTTTTTCATTCTTTTTTTCACAACTTTTATAATAGTCCCATTGAATGAAAACTGTTGTTGAAAATATAGATTATTGGTTTAATTTAAGGAATAGATACATTGTATGGCAGTATAATGATCTATAAATAACATAGTTTTAGGTTGGTGTGGATGTTTAAAAAAATTAATTCCTTAATTTTATTTATCTATCCATGGGGGGGGGGGGGGGTATATTCCAATGACTTTCATTTGTTTTCTAGTTGAATTAAGTATGTTAATTTTTTCAAAGCATTTGCTACCATATATGTGTTAGTTTACTGTAATTTCAATTTTACCAGCAAATGCGCATCATAGTTTTGTCATGTTCCATAGTCTACTATTGCTGCGTAAAATTTAAAAAGATCTTGTTGGATGGGTAGGCTCCCCATAATTTTTGTTTTCTTCATTCTGTCTTTCATGATATACAAATTTATGTTATATTTTATATTACACAATTTACATCATAAAGAAAATATGCATCAAATGGATGAGATCCTTTGTGTATTTGTGCTAATTATTTGCATTTTATAATAACCTTAGATTATCTGTTGTAATCAAAGGTGAACATACTAGAATATAAAAGCAAAAGGGTAGTTATCAGTAATTAAGCAGCGTGGTAAGGTATGTGAGTGTGAGTGTTTATGTATGTATTTGAGTATACTTAAAAGTTTGTGCAATGTATAGTTTATTTCTTAACTTTAATAAAAGAAATTTAAAAAAAAATTGAAGATAAACTTGAATCAGAAATCAAGTGTTGCCTTAAAGCAAGAATCACTTTATGTTTTTTTAGAACTTTTTATTTAAAAGAGTCCCATTGGGTGTTTTTTTTACCTGTGAAAGCCACTTTTTATCCCCTGAGATGCCTGAAATGTCCTTGTAGCACCTCATTCCCATAACTCGTAAATACGGCTTTTTTATTTTTTGCCCTTCATGTAACAAAGTATTATACCCAGTAATTCGTAATTTTTATGATTTTCAACTCATACTGCCTGTGAGGTATGCATGAAGTTTTGATTACTATGATTTTTGAATTGATGATTTTATTTCCCATTAACTGTGACCACCTCTTCCTAATGCTACCCTCAATTAAGAAATGAAAGAAAAACAAAACACATTTGATTACACAAAATTAATATTTTATTGTAAAATTAAGAGAATGTCATTTGAAGTTTTTAACTGGCTGCTTCAGAGGCAATAGAAGTTCTGCAATGATGACCCTGAAAAATAAGAAGATGAAAAATTTAAAATATAAATCAGTTAAAATGTATTAGCTGTAAAAAGATGTTGACAGTAACTCTACAACCAGCAGCTCCCGGCTGCTATCATAATTACCGAACAGGTTTTACCAGCTGTTTGACCGAGTGTGCCTCTTAAAAACTGAAAGTTCACTTAGTTATGATGCCATCAAAACAAGGAAACAAACAAAAGAACTTCCTTGTGACTGTATAATGAATCTGTTCTTTTTTAAAATGTTGTCAAATTTCTTAATATCGAGAGTGATTTAAGTTATTTAATAACAACAACAAAAATAACAGCAACAATAATAATAATAATAACCATTTATGTTCTTGATCTTCGTCTAAAGCAAGACATGAAAAGACTTAAAAATCTTCTCCACCTAGATGGGCGTCTGTCCTTGGGAACTGAAATATATGACTCAATATTACTTACTAATATGCAATAATATATAACCCTCAATATGTAGTCAGTGCACCACATTTTTTCATGCATGCAACTGTACCGAAAATCTTTTACAATTATTTAGAATAAACAAATTGGACAAGTAAAGCCCATAATGTGTTTACACATCAATACGCAGTGTAAGTGTGTGAGTATGTGTGTGTGTATGTGTGTGTACATGCACAATCACATTCCGTCAGTGTAATAAATAAATCCCTATTCTATTGATCCTGCTATCTTACCTCTCTCTTTCATGTCCTCTGTCAGGGTTGTTGTGTCATTGATACTGACTGAAGAAAGACAAGAAAACAAATTAAACATCCCATACATGTGTGCACAACAAAGATTCAATACATTACTGAACATAGTCAAAGATACATTGAAAGATTTTGATAACTGAACAGTAAATTTTAACTCGGTGTTTGTGCGTAAGAGTCTCCACCCTAAAGTCCATCTGTGTGTGTTAAATTTACATTTTTTAAGTGTCTTAAATGAATTCCTGTTAAATTGCCCCTACTGTCTTACCTTTTTCTTTGATGTCCTCAGCATCTGACACACTCTTTGTGTCTTTGATATCAGCTGAAGAAAAAATGATATCAAATAAAATTTTAACATTCTATATCTGTGCATGTTCAAATACGTAGGTTTCAGCATAACAATTTGTTAAGAACATTCAAATATTTAATTGACTTTAAAAAATTATCTTCTTAAGTATGCTAAAAACAAGCTTTGTTTGAGCAACATGATTGCGGTATGTATAAATGTGTTTGTGTGTGTGTGTGTGTGTGTGTGTGTTAGTTTGTGTGTGTGTGTGTGTATGTGTATGTGTGTGTGTGCATGCATGTGTCATAAGTATATTAAAAGTCAAACTTATTTTACTGAGATTCCTGTCTTACCTATCTCCTCAATACTTAGGGTCTTAACAATTGTAACATTTTTCTTGGCTTTTGTATCATCTGAAAGAACAGAATTGAATTTTAGTGATCATTGATTACACAGCAAGAGCATTAATTTTTCTGAAGATAAAGTATCTTCTTAAGACTGTCTACGGCCAGACATACTGTGCAACACAGTGTGCATGTGTGTGTGCATGTATGTGTGTGTGTGTATGCTGGTGTGTGTGCATGTGCTAATGTATGTGTGTGTGTGTGCACATGTGTATGTTTCATGTGTGTATTAAAGTCATAATTATTTTACTGACATTCCAGTCTTATCTATCTCTTTAGTGTTAGGATTCTTTACAATTGTTACTATGTTGGTATCAGCTGAAACAATGAGAATTGAATTGAAATCTAAGGAAACACAATACATATATTTGTTCTTTCTAAACTTAACACATCAAATACATCATGGCATTGAGTAGAATACAGTAAACCTGGTGATTCTGTATGTTGGAGACAAAAGGGGGGGTGTTACTCTGTTAATCTGATTGTATTCAGCGAGAGTTTCCATGGAGTTAGTGCATATTAGCTAGGTCTTTATATTCAGACTTGCACCCTGTGAGTCAGAGCACTAGTGGGCTTGATTTGGTCTTAAAGTGCAATTTAAGAACACAAACAGTCTTACCTGATCTTAAAACATGAGTAAGACCATTTCTAGTCTGANGAGCTGGGCAGGTTAAGAACATAATGGGTTTTTCACCCAATACACCTTTCCAGAGGATTGTAAATCAAATATGTCAAGGAGAAAACAATGCAAGTATACAACATGTATAATATATTTAAAAGGAAATAAGCCAAGTCTGTTGTGTAATAATAAAGTCTTTCATGTCTGTGCATGCGAGGCCTGTGTCACAAAAGAAATTTGGATCGAGTGTTGGTCTTAACTTTTAGTTAGTATTTTATTTGACTTTGAACCCAGGATGAATTCTGCCTGTTTTGTAGCAAAGGATGTCACATCAGTTTAAGACCAATAACCATTCTGATCTACTAGTATTTGACTGCCATGAGAGTGAAGAGTAAAATTTAAGTGTAAAAGTCGGGACTGAGTTTCTGTTTTAAGTCATGTTGTGACCAACCCGGCTTGTTTTGTCATAACATCCATACATTTAGTACTGCGGCTATTCTATGAGGAAATGCATGCAAGAACAGATTAAATTTTCTTTCCTTTTGTTTATTATTTACAATACACCGTTTAAAGGCATTACTTTTCCATTCATATTAGTATGATTGTCTCCTGAAATCCATTTACGGGGGTATGTATTTTGTTCTTCAGGACACATAAGAATGGACATCATTGAAATTCTGAAGTTTATTTCAAGGTTGTTTATGATATGTTATTATCATGTATACACTCAGTACTGTGTGGCTGATAGTTTCAGTCACATCATTAAGTTATCTCTGCTCTGAATCTCAGGTGCACATGATACATGTATGGTAATCGTCCAGTAAATTTGTACAACAGATAAATGTTCTTTTTCCAAAACTATCTTGGGCATAACTACAACAAGTTTTATTCGAAAAATAAGAACACAGAAATCACAGAGTTTAGTGGGAACCTACATATTATGAAAATTGATCTGATAAGATCTTTGGAAATACTAGGGTGTTTGAAATTTATGATTAGCTACAGCATATCATCTCTCTCATCAGGAAGTATGTCAGAGGCGTCCAGTCACCCGTCCACACCTCCTCACTCCAGGCTGCGCTCTCGACGCAAGAACTACCAGTACGTCTCCCACTCCATACGCTCCAAAAACGTCTACCACGGAAAGCGCGCCAGTCCCATGTCTCCGCCTGGTCATGTGACCTCTCCGTCTCCAGGGGGATCCAAACCAGCACTGAAACCAAAACCGGGGAGAGTTAATAATACGGTGGAGGGGATGGAGTTTAAGTTTGACCCTGTGTTTATTGCTAAGCTGAACCAAGCAGGACTTGGTAATAGAGGAAATAAAAGGAATAGCAGGCCTCCCATCAGTCCCAAACCAAGGTATGGTAAAACTTTTTGTAAAAAAAAAATAATGATAATTATTTATTTATTTATTTATTTATTTATTTATTTATTTATTTTGCTTCTTGTTACTGGCAAAAGGATACAGGGATTTATGGGATATTGTGTAGGGAAGGGGCAAAACATTTTTTGGCCAATTCTGACCCCCTCCCTCCACTTGAACAAGTACAAAAAAAAAAAAAAAAAAAAAAAAAAAGGAATAATACTTACATTTTGTGGCTTAATGAATTTCCATTCAATTTTTGAGCCCTTGGGCAGGGGAAACTCTGCCCTTAGAGACGGGACACCCATGCTAGTTGTTCTTGGCATGTTAATGCCGCGCTGGGTGTCCCAGCCTCCAAGGGCAGTTCCCCTGCCCACCACTTTTGCTTTCAACAGGTTTTCTCTCAAAATTAGTCTGACAGTGGCTTTGGCTGTTCAAAATAAAAAGTAAAA